AGTTGCATGTGTGAAATCTGTGAACTAAGTAGAGACAAAAAAGTGAGGGCAGTTTTCTGGGTCAGAAGAAGGGAGTGTAATGCATTAAATACCTTCCATGTAGAAGAAAAATGGACAAAATTTGAACTGGGGTCCTGTGAAAAACTCACGAAGAATTGTAACAAATTGCCAGCGGGGCACATGACACCTGAGCATGAGCTTTGCCTGCGAGTTTCAGGGTGTCTTCAAGCAGCATCAGAGAAGGGGTGAGAAAGCGAAATCCTGGTATGAAGGCAAGCTCACTCTCCGTCCCTTTTCTGGTGCCTGCAAATGTCCCAGCAAAAGGATTTCAGGAGTCTGCACTTCTCCCCAGGGATGCCCTCTCTTAAAAAAAAAAAAAAAAAGCCATGATTCTACTTTTTCCTCTTCTATCTCAGAAATTAGCAAGATTACTAACATTCAGTAGGTTCCGATAATGTTTGTAGGAATAAGCATTTTCCTCGCCAACCAAAGAAAACGCTGAGGAGATGTATTTTGGTTTGTCTGTGGAAGAGCCCGTGCTGCTCACTGGCCGCATACAAAGGACCAAAATATTTTCAAGATGGCAAAGAGCTAACCTGGCACCTGATTGTCAGAGTCAGTGGATTCACCAGGAGAGGAAAGGGCTCAGTTAGCCCTTCCTCCTGGGCATTTCTAGAATGTCTGAGAATCAGTAGAGAATTCAATGAATAAAATAAGCAGCAACAGAAATTGAGCCTGTACCAAGGAAACAAGTTAACAGGGCCTGCCTTCATCATTTCCCTGCTTTTTTTTTTTTTATTACATGTGAACTTGCTCCTCTGATAGACTTTTTGCTAAACTCTCTCTACTTGTATGTGCTGCCTTAGTTTACCCACATATATTCTTATAATCTTATCAGAAGAATACTAAAATCAAAATCGTCATTTCATGTCTACAATAAATGGAGATTAGACAAGTGAACTGACTTGCCCCAGGTCACGTGCATTTTTCACTAAAGTGGAGACTAACCCCCCCCTCCCACCCCTCATGTCTTGTGGTGCCTCTGGCAGAGGCCACAGGCAAGGGTACAGCTGAGATCTGTAGTCCTTGTTTGACTCAGGAGTTCAGTTAAATAGAGCAGTTACACCTTTAAAATGAAGAGGCAGGGGACTGACCCCAAAACCAGTGGGTAACACCCTTCCACAAATTCTAGCAGTGTTTGCAGAATAGGGCCCACAGTCTGCACTGTTCATGGCTTACTGCTTATTGGCTACTACAGAAGGGGCTCTGACACCACATTCTGATCATCACAGTTGATGCCATGGAAAGCTTTAATTACAAATGTCATAGAAAATGTGAAATGGAAGAATATGGAATGAATTCCAAGCAGCTAGAGGACAAAGCGTAGGTTTGTGATTTCTGCCACTCTGAGATACCAAAGAGATCATCTGATATTTGGGCCACCTAATCACACTACAATCTCACTTAAACCCTCACACTGTGAGAAATCAATAGGAAATTAGAGAGCTGCAAGCATGTTTCCAGGCAATGCGGTGCAAGGAGCTGAATTCTGTGTTGTGTGGAGTTTTTCCTTTCTTTAATTCAATTTAGGGAATCATATGGTTAATCTGATCTACTATCCTTAGGCCTGAAATACCCTAAGGAGTAGAACTCCTTGGTCTGGATGCAGCATATAGAATGGTGACTAAAAATGGCTGAGATTCAGTGCTTGGTATTTGGAAGGGGATCATTTTTGCCAAAACGGAATGTCAGTGAATTGTATGCACCTATAACTCACAAAGCTCTGTGATTCGCACTTTGAAACAGAGTTACCTCTCCAAAGCCAAAGCTTCTTTAGAAGAACAAATACTGTAGAGATAAAATAAATACTCCACAATTTAGAAAACTAAAGCAGTGATAAAATGGGTTTTTAACAGGGAGCACTTTCAAAGCAGGGTCTTGCGCCTCTTGTCAAAACATTTTCACAAGAACTATTTCACCCCCTGAGAGAGATGGTGATGATGAGGACTCCTGACTGCCTGGCCAATGGCTCACCCAGAGCAAGCAGATGGCAGACAACTCTGAAAAGTTAAACGTTCTTAAGAGTCGGGACACCTCTCAAAAGCACCTGAGTGTCAAAGGCATTTTTGTGCATGTGAGAGGGTGTTTTTTCTGTGTTATTCTCCAGTATCGGGGTTTTACACTAAGAGTGTGGTACCCTGTCAACCAGGCCTCACTTCAGTCCAGCTTCCCAGCTCCAGTGGGGAAATATATCTGTGTGTCAACATCCAGACCCGCACCCAGCATCTGCTCTTAAGGTGTGAGTTAGCTGTGAAAACTGCCTTAAGTTTCCACCTGCTTAATAAGAACAACCTCATTCTCAGCCTGCCCCCTTCAGAGCTGAGAGCTCCAAGTCTCTGGGTCACGTTGAAAGTGCAAAAAGGAATAATGGGGTGCCTGCCCTCCTTGGCTCACAAGCACATCACACTGTGGGCACAGACTCTGTTCTCTGCTTTGTCATTGCCTCTCAGCAAGCCCAGAACAGAGTGTCATAGCACAATGGCTGGACGATGATGGGACTATTTAGTTTCATAAAAATCGCCTTTACAGCAACAATAAAGGTAAGGGGAATTTGAGCTTCCTAGGGTCACATCACATCTCAGTCAACTAGCAGTCTATTCTTTGAGCCTGTTTCCTCACCTATTAAAAGTTGATCACAATACCCACTCCTAGTGCTGACTTTAGAAATAAGCACCATAACAAAGTCCAGGTTCTGGGTTGAAGACCCATAAAAGACAACAGTTGCCATTCATTATCATAATTTTCAGAATGCTTTACACTAGATCTGGGAATTTAACAATAAAGGGCAATAGAGATTGAGTAAGGCATGTGGTAAACCACGATTGATTTCAAAATAAAATAGCTTTATCAGAGAACAGTAGTCTATGATGAGCTGTCCAGAAAAATTCAATTATCTTTAAATGCATCTTTCACTTGCATTTAGCAAATAATGATTCTGCTAAATCGACACTGGGTCATCGGTGCAAAAGAAATAAAACATCAGGGATTTAGCTGAAGTTGCTCTCTGGCCTCTTGTTCATTTCCACTCTCAGCAGAGGTTGGGGTACATCTTTACTATGCATATAGCTGCAGCTCTACCCTACACATATGACTACCTGAATAATGCACAATGTTGATGTCAACAATTAGGATCAATGACAGCCCATTCCATGGATTATATTGCAAGTGGATTGTATCATCTCACTTTGTATTTTTGAGATTCACCTACGTTGAAATGCAGAGTCTGTAATGTCACGATCATAATGTAGTCTGTTGTATGGCTGCATCATATGTTATTTGTCATTTCTCTACTATGGGAGCTAAGACACTTTCTAAGCTCTTGGTTTGGCAAAACCATGCTGCAATGGATACTTTCATCCTTGTCGGCTTCTGGGTGCTAAGGGGCATCGGGGACCTAGCCCCAAAGCATGATTCCCAAAGTGCTCTCCAAAGATATGCTTACATTCATTACCATCAATCTGTGTCCTTAAAGACACATCAAATTTTCAATGTTGGCAAAAATTTGGTTAGGTGGCAAAAATCTCAGGGGAAGAAATCAAAGAAGTAGACGGTTCCTGCTGCCAAGTAGGGGAGGTGTGAGCGCCATGCTGCCTGGAGTGGCCCCCGCTGCATTCATTTAGACCAGCAGTTCCCACCTCACTACATGATTAATTGGCTTTTCATTTAAAGCACCCCTGTGGACTTCCCAGAGCACTGAATGACACAGAGGACTTAACCAGCTTTTCAGAAGCTCTGGATAAACCTGGTAGTGAAGTTGAAGAAGTATAAAAGCCATTTCCTAGCACCTGTGACTTTTGATAAATCCCTGGGCAGGGAGGCAGTGTTTTAAAAGAGCCAGAAAACAGTTTCTGCTGAAGCTCAAGTGACCAATAACTCAGACAGTGGGACCACATCGTTGTTGTCACAATAACTCATCCCTGTCATTCAAGCATATAAACCAATAGCATGCCCAAGCTCTAAACAACTATGTACCAAAAGAGGAAGCATGGGGGCATCCTAGCCGTTGCCTTCAGAGAAATGTCAGAACAGAGCAGCCTTTGTCACCTCCAGTTGTGAGTGAAGAGGTCAGATTTTGAGAACGTCTCTTTGAAGTTGGAGACCATGTATGACACAGCAGAGCCACTGGCCTCAGTGCTGGGGTCAGGGTCCGCAGAGCACTGTGCCTGCAGCAGATGGGAAGACTTCTTGTTTGCACCACAGGGAAGGCCTCTCTGACCTTTAATGTTGTCCAAAATACATAGGAAAGAAGGGCTGCTTGTCCATTTTGTGTTGGGTTCAGCACTGGCAGACAGGAACAGCTGCCTCCTTTTAGGGGACACTCCAACCTGGAGCAGCAGCTGGGAATGCTAGGAGCAGCACACATTCCCCACCTGATTCCTCTTTATCATTCTTGTCCAGCTCAGCTCTCCAACAACTAGCTGAGAATGTCAGACCTTCTTCTTTTTCCTAAAAGTCTTAGTTTTCCTTATTTTATTGAATTACAGGAAAAGAGGAAGAGATAGAGAGATCTTCTGCCTCTTGGTTCATTCCCCAGACTCTTGCAGCAGCCAGGACAGGGCCAAGCCAGGAGCCAGGAGCCAGGAGCCAGGAACTTCTTCCAGGTCTCCCACACAGCTGTAGGGTCCCAACTTGGACCTCCCTAGGCTGCTTTTCCCAGGCCATTAGCAAGGAGCTGGATTAGAAGTAGAGCAGTCAGGACATGAACTGATGCCCATATGGAATGCCTACCTTACAAATGGCATCTTTATACACTATGCCATCCCTGTTTCTTCCTCATGGACAATTGGTCCTCATAGCCACTACAGCAGTTGATAGGCCTGGCTTGTGTGCTTTGCATGTGTTGGTTTCAAGCTTTACAATAAGGTCACCGGTGATAGTAACTGATGCTAGGTGTGACCTGCCCATGTGCTGGGTCATAACTAATTTGTTCTCACCTCCAGGTACCAGTAGTGCAGAAGTGAAGGAAAACCGCAATGTGAGCAACCTGGGGACAAGGCCCCCACCCCCTGGAGAGCGGGCCCGCGGTGGCACACCCAGCATAAAAAGAAAAAGACCCCTGGAAGAAGGAAATGGGGGTCACTTCTGCAAACTCCAGCTGATCTGGAAGAGGCTCTCCTGGTCGATGACACCCAAGAATGCCCTGGTCCAGCTGCATGAACTGAAGCCTGGCCTGCAGTACCGGATGGTGTCACAGACAGGCCCAGTGCATGCTCCAGTCTTTGCTGTGGCAGTGGAAGTGAATGGCCTCACATTTGAGGGCACTGGGCCAACCAAGAAAAAAGCCAAGATGCGAGCAGCAGAGTTGGCGCTGAAGTCCTTTGTGCAGTTCCCCAATGCCTGCCAGGCCCACCTGGCCATGGGCAACGGCACGAGCCCATGCACAGACTTCACCTCGGACCAGGCCGACTTCCCGGACACACTGTTTAAGGAATTTGAGCCGTCCACACCCAATGAGGACTATGCAGTCTGCCGCCCCGTTGATGCAGACCTGCTGTCCACCGCCTACCGGCATGGACGGCTGATCTACCACACCCTGGACTTGATGGGCCAGCCCAGGCCGCACAGGCCCAAGCCAGCCCCGACGGCCTCAGGGGAGAGGAATCCAGTGGTGGTGCTGAACGAGCTGCGTTCCGGTCTGAGGTATGTCTGCCTCTCGGAGACAGCCGAGAAGCCAAGGGCCAAGAGCTTTGTCATGGCCGTGTGCGTGGATGGGAGGACGTTCGAAGGCTCAGGACGCAGCAAGAAGCTGGCCAAGGGCCAGGCCGCCCAGGCTGCCCTGCAGGCCCTCTTCAACATCCGGCTGCCTGGCCACACCCCCAGCAGGAGTAAAAGTAACCTCTTGCCACAGGTGAGACTTGTCAGGGAGCTGCCCACCAGGCAGAAGGATGCTGGGAAAGATGTGAGCTGGGGATTACTGTGGTCATGATGGAGAAGTGGGCAGGTCCCCTTCCTCTAGTGGCTGTGAGCAGAGTGTGACCCCTTTGGCCTCACCTTCCCATAAATATTCTTTTTGCAAAGAGAATCTGGTGGCTGCAAAAGGAGGGGAAAGAAAATGTCAACACTCCAAGTTAGCAGAGGTGACAGGAGAGTTCACACAGCGGGTAGACTTTTGCAGCACGTCACCAGGGAGAAGGGAACACCAGAAAGGAAAGGAGCAGGCAGAGGTTGGCAGAGGACTGGCTTTGTTCTCCAGGCCATGTGGTAATCTGGTCATCAAAACTGTCTGCCCTCCAGAAGACAGGAACAAGAGGCAAAACGTTTGTGTTCATGGACAGTAAGGGTTGAGCTTCTTGCCAACATAATAAGCCAAGGAATGAGGCTTGTCCTGATGGAAGTTGGCACCTGTAGTAGGGAAGGCGAGTCTCCCCACATAGGGTGCAGCAAGTGCAAACACAAGGAGGAACATGTTGGAAGACAGAAATAAGAATTAGAGATTTCACTCTGCCAACACAATCATCTGTACAACATAACTGGGGGGTTCAGTTTCTGATGAGAATTTACCTACTTTTGGTGCAGAAAGTGCAGAAATATTTTGTGTCCAAATCTATTCTCCTACTATTTCAAACAACCAGGTTCTATTCGGTCTTATAATTGCTTGTTTATGCCAGTTGCCTTTTCTCTTATTGTTCTGAGGACTATTTGTGACCATCACTAATGTAGAAGATGCAGAAAATCATCTGTATTCTTTTGGGGCATCAATCAAGGCAAGAACCATTTTACATAGTTAAAAAGCACTTAGCCCCATAAGGGAGTCATAGTAAGTACTCAATAATTGTAAGTTATGGCTATTATCATTGCCATCAAGCGTCACAATACTGAGAATAGAATCCACGATGTTGCCCCGGAATATCATAAATCTGTTCAGGAATGAAAGGTGCCACAGAAATTTCAGGTACTGCCCAGGGATACAAAATGTGTAACAGTATAGTCCCTCATTTGGACTCATACTGGGTTTGAGCATTCATTTACTCTTTCATTCATTCAATATTCATTTGACTCTGAGCATGCATGAGATAGACAATGGACAAAGCTGACCATGGCCTACTTCTCACAGAGCTAGGCAGGCATGATCCTACACTATATACAAGGAGTTCCAATCAGGGTGGATATTTTTCTAGCTCTCTCAACATTCCTTTCTGTGATGCCCAACTCTTTATTGTACATCTAACAGATAGTATCAACATCATTCTTGCCTTTCAGCTCACCCTCAAATAAATGCAGAAAGGAAATAAAGGGGTCTAGAAAAGGAAGAACAGTTTCGTGATATATATCCCCGTACTCTTTCTAGGGTATTCTGAAGTCTTGCTTTCTTTTTTCTTGCATCCCACCTTATTTGGTTTCTTGAATGTTTGTTTGCTATTCTGTTTCCTCACCAACTATACCTAAGTTTACCAATAGCAGTTGTGGAAGTCACTTTACACCTGCAGCCAGGAGTGGGGCTGTGCAGAGGAATGGACTCCCTGCCAAGGCTGCCTGGGGCCTTTGACCTGAACTTGGTTAGCTGTCTTCAAGGCATCCAGGAGAAGTCCTTCAGTACACACAAAATCCTCCAGCATTCACAAAGAGGCTGGCACCATCTCAGCAGCCCACAGCCAAGCCTCATGGCTTTCTGTTTAGTAGGAAATGTCTTTTCTCTCCCTCCCCTGGCACAATTTCTTGCTTCCCCCTAGCAGGAAATTTGAAGGATGTCAGTGAATTCTGGGCGCCATGCCTTCTTCTTTCATGCTGTCAACCCCCAGCTCTCATGATGGCAAAACCAGGCAGCGCTACTACTTTGTAATAGTCATTTGACCCCAGAACGCAGCACATCAGTTAAAACCACAGCTGCTCAATTATTTTTCTCTGACAGTCCACTAACCAACTCGACTAGATGATGAAGGGCATGGAGCAGCCTGAGGGTTGCGAGCCATTCATCACTCCACAGCACACGCCATCCCACGGGGCTCATTATCCTTCCCTCTCCCCTCCCCATCATGCACACTCAGGGTTGGGTGGGGGCCGAGCGAGACGATGGGACTCAGAACCAGGAACCATCAGCAGTTTTATTAAATGAGACTCCTGCTTTGGTGGATCCAGATACTGGAGTGAGGAGACAAAGATTTCAAGAATCACTGGAGATGTGGCTTGGCATTCCAGCTCTATCCCAAGATTCCATATGCTGAATTTACAGAACGGACAGGCCTAGCCAACCATACATTTTTGCGTATAGTTGGACATACCATGTGAACATGCCATGGAATCTCCACCTCCCTGCAAATACATCAGGTATTCTTTTTGTCTATACATCACAAACTCTCCCCTCAATCTAGACATCATAGACCTGTTGCCCATACAACATGCAACTCCACAGTTTACACGCCATAGGTCTTCTTCTTATATATGCATCATCTCATTGTCTATATGACATGAAATCCCCCAGTCCATACATGATAGACCCATCCCTGAATGTACAGCAGAGGTCACTCATCTGCACACGAAGAAAGCCCAAACCAACATCCTAGGCCTCACCTGTTTATACATCATGAACCCCTGGTCTATGCATCATAAACAATCCCATCTGTGCAACATGACATATAATCTCAGAGAAAAGTTTCCTGTACTCCTTCCTGTGGTAATGATTGCAATTTCTGGAAAATGGATACAACACCGATAGTTAATGTTTTTTACCCAAGGCTTCAAATTCTACCCTTCCTAAAACACAAGATGACCTTGTTGGGCAAGGCTAGACTCACAGGTAACATCCACAGCAGACAACTAAAATGCATTGTTATGTTTTATGCCTTCAACCAATGTCTTGGACTTATGAGAAAAGCTTCAGAACAGTCTCTGTAGAAGCCCTATTCTTTTAGCAATAGCTTCAGGAAAAAGGTTTCAGATTAACTATGCCCAGGAATATGTTGAAAGTTGTGGTTAGGTTGCCACAGCAGGATTTATTGTAGCAAAAAATCAATGAATTTTCAAAGCAGGATCAGGAACCTGCATTTCCCACAAGCATGCTCCCTGGGCTTGCTCTTTGGCGGAGGCAATTCTAAGGAAACAGGTCTCCTACACACACAGTGTCTCAGTATGAGTCATTCTAATATAATAAGCTAATTCTGCACCTGTAATGACAAAATCCCATACTGGCACCAGTGAATGTTCTGGCTGCTCCACTTCTGATTCAACTTCCTGTTTGTGGCCTTGGAAAGGGTAGCAAAGGGTGATTCTTGTGATTACACTTAATGCAAAGTAACAGCTTTAAAAAAAAAACTTGAAATAGCTTTCAAGCAGCAAAGATGACATTGTATAAAGTCTGCTTTGTTGTGAGCCAATGTTCACAATAAAGATTGTAATCACAGGGGTGGTGGCTCAGAATTTATTTTTCACTATTTTCTGTTGGGGAGGGTGGTGTTTTTTAGTCCATGGCTCATATCATGCCATCAATTTTGTGAGATTGGGTTCAGAGGGGCAAAATCAAATTTTTAATACATGGACTAGACTTACACATGCAAAGTTAATACCATGAGTGTGTGTGTGTGTGTGTGTGTGTGTGTGTGTGTGTGTGTGTGTGTGTGTACAGGCTAGATATTCCATAAAGAGCCATTGACAACAGTATCCACTAATATAGCTGGCTGCCAGGTACAAATCCTTCATTGCTCCCTTTTCTGCTGTTGACATGAGATCCTTCCAGGCTATCCAATTACTTAGAGCTGATTATGAGAAAATTCCACTTTGTAAATACTAATTACCTACAGACTCATTGTAAAAAAATATTAAAACCACACACTCTGCCATTTCTCTTGTGGCTTCACATCCTACCCCAGTCTCACAGAAAGAGCTGAATTCATGAAAGCATTCATTTCCCTCATTTTAAATTGATTTAAATTTAAAACAATAGGTGTAGAAATGTCACATTAGAGAGTTGTGATGGCTTACCACTGTGCTGTTTGCCAGAAACATCCCAGGAATAACACCACTCTTTAGAAGGGGTAAAGAACTTTCTTTCCAGTCAATGGCTATTTAAGTAGTTATAGCATTGTTTGGGGGCCATACATATTTATTAGTTTAGATATATAGCCTGTTATAAATATTTACTGAAATTTGAGCCTTGCCTGGTTAGTTTGACAGGGCCAGACCCACTGATTTCCTGGGCCTTATATGACCCACCAGCCAGACAGTCCCCACAAGATGGGCCCCCACATGGTGCCCTCCAGACTCAGCTCCAGACTAGGTGTCCTGGCACCTCCTGAGTTGCACAAGGGGACAGTATGTGCCAGCTTAACCTTTGGCAGTGTGCCCAACCCAGGAATACTCCAGAGGCTATTCTAGAATTCAAACAAACTAGACCTTGACCTCTTGATCTCTAAACATACCGGTAACCCTGAAGTCTCCAGCAATTTTTCTGAGTTTTGCTGGACTGAGCAATCATCTATCAATAGGCAACCCCTTGCCTTTCTGTCTACCTATCCTTACTACCACTTACATCAATAAGCGAAGGTCTGTCAGAGAATCAGTAATTTCTCATTCAGTGCAAATAGCCTGGGGCACATGACCCCAACACCATTTCTAGTTGCAACCACACTGGGGTTATAAAAAATTGAGCAGTATTTGAGTAGCTGATGTGGAGAAACTGTGGCAGTCAAACCTGGACAGGGCAGACATTCACCCATAAAGGATTCGCTCCTGAGTTTGTGAGGAAATAGAGAAATGACAGCATTCACATTTTTACTTTCTTTTTAAGATTTATTTATTTTTACTAGAAATTCAGATGTACAGAAAGGATGAGAGACAGAGAAAAATTGCTTCCATCTGCTGATTCACTCCCCAAGTGCCCACAATGGCTCAAGCTGAGCTGATTCATGGAGACGC